TATTTATTTATTTATGTGTGTGTGTGTGTGTGTGTGTGTTTGTGGCCAGCTCAGCCCACCAGAGGGCGCGGCTGGCTGGCATGTGGTGCTGGGGGATTGAACCGTGGTCCCTTTGCTTTGCTAAGCTTTTTCAAATAGGTGCTTTAGACCACTGAGCCATCTCACCAGCCCCCTTTTTCTCCTTTCTTACGTCTTCATGCTGCAGATTTCTGTACGAGCGACACGAGCAGTCCAAGCAGGACCTCAAGGGCCTGGAGGAGACAGTTGTGAGTGATTTCCTTCTGTGCCACGTAGACAGAGGAGGAGAGGGCTTCATTCCCACCCCCAATTCCTTCCTGACCTTGCTGTTCCTGCCCGTTGGCCGTTAGTCTATGGCAATGGTGGCAAGCCTATGACATGCATGCCACACCAGCTGTTACCATTCAGAGCTCTAAATGGTTCGCCATCCTTGTCTGTGGCATAACCAAGACAAATCTTTTCCTAAAAAATGAGTGGCTCACTTGACTGTATAGACTGAAGTTTCCAATAATTTTGGAGGGCGAAGATGAACATGGTATCTGCATATCCGTGATTTTTTTTCAGGCTCGTGAACTCCAGACCCTCCACAATCTTCGCAAGCTGTTCGTTCAAGACGTCACGACTCGAGTCAAGAAAGTGAGTGCTGCCTTCTGGATCCTACCAAACCTGTGTCTTCTGCTCTTCCTCTGCTTTCGCCAGCCCTGCTCTTCCTGTGGGGCTGGCTGGGCCTGGCCTCGGTGGGACCTGTTTGACCCTGGGACAACGACATCTTTCCCTCTATCTCTAATCAGAGTGCAGAAATGGAGCCCGAGGACAGTGGGGGGATTCACTCACAAAAGCAGAAGATTTCCTTTCTTGAGAACAACCTGGAACAACTTACAAAGGTTCACAAACAGGTAAGAGCCCACATAAGGAGTGAACTTTTGAAGTCCGTCCCTATGATCCCCAGAATCCTTGGAGGCCCTTTAGATTCAGGAAAGTATACTTACGTATTTTCCTTTCTTTTCTCTTTTACTTCTCCTACTAGTCCTTTCTTTCTATCATATTTGGGCCCACTTTTTTATTGCTCTTTGGTTCATGCCTGTTTTCCCTCCTCCAACTTTTTGATTCACCTCTGCTGGGAATGGATTCTTCAGGCCTATCTTACAGGGAGAGCTTGAAATGGACAGAAGTTGAAGAATAGTGAAGTGGCATGGCAAGGGGCTGGGGAATCGAACCCCTGGACCCTGCGCCTGCTTGCAGGTGCTTTAATCTGCTGAGCTATTTGGCCTGGAGGAGACAGTTGTGAGTGGCCAGTGGGCTAAGCTATTTGGCCAGCCCACAGGACACAAACTTGATAGGGCAGTCAGGAATGACTGTTGCCGAGTGTCAGCTGACATGGTAGAGAGAGGCTTGTGATAGTCTGTGAAAGGTGGGGAGCAGATTACAAAGTGGTAGCTTAGTGTAGCTCAGTGGTAAAGTGCTTGGCCTGTGTGAAGTTCCTGGGCTTGATCCCAGCCCATAAAAAGGAAAAAGAAAAAAAAAAATATATTATATATATATATATACACACACACACACACACACAGAGATATGTATATGTATGTAAATACGCACAAAAGAAAAGCATATGTATCAGATTTTAGGCTTAGAGAAAGCAGGGAGACAAGAAAAGCAAGGAAATTGAGCTTTCTCTCATGGAGACAGCTCTATCTGCTAGCCTTGGGGCAGGAATCCAGGACATTAAATGATGTCCTTGAGACAGCCCATCCAGCCCTTGGTTAGGGCCCGTGAGAATGCCCGCTTATTAGAGTTCCTGCCTCTGCCCCCTCCCTGCTGCTGCAGCCCGAGTTGGATGACTGGATTTCAAGGGTATGGGCTGAGGAGGTGGAAGGGCAGGACAGGAAATGCCTGGTGTGTGCAGAGCAGGAGCACCCCTACCAGCCAACAGTTGAGCCTTGAGTCAGGCTCAACAGTCTGTCAACAAGGTCAATTGATTTGTAAAAGAAACCCTAACTCTGTCGGGACCTGGGAGGTATCTTAGTGGTAAAGTTCGTGCCTAGGCTCTGGGTTCAATCCTCAGGGTTGGGGAAGGGGAGAGGAAAAAAGAAAAAGAGAAAGACCCAGACCTCATGCCCTTCTTCTTCTTTTTTTTTTTTTTTTTTTTTGGTGGAACTGGGGATTGAACTCGGGCCCTTGCGCTTGCCAGGCAAGCACTTATTCTACTGAGCCATCTCCCCCGCCCCATGCCCTTCTTGAGGCTACCTGAAAATTCCAGGCAAACTCACATTCTCACTAACCTCGAACTTTACTTTCTTTTCCTCCCAATGAGATGTCCAGCTTACATAGTAAATACTCACTACACCTTTTTTTGTAATGAAAAATTCCCAAAGCTGCAGCCCAGTGGCAATCTTCAGAGTTTACTGATTTTATTTGGGGCAAGAGGGCTTTCCTAGCATCTTCCTTTCTTTCCCTTACTATAAAATTATAACATTACAGAAACATTGAAAGATGGTCAGGAAATATTTTAGTAGTTGTGCCATTCTGGTTTCGTGCCTGTATGTTCACTCTATCTCTCTGGCCAAATACCTATTAAATTGCTTTAAAAGTAGCAAACAAAATAGTCTTATCTTTCTCGAAACCCCATCGAAGCCTCTACTTTTCCCTCTGCTATAAATCCCAAAAGCCAAAACCTGGTCCCCCAAAACAGGAAGAAAAAGGAGAGATATAAAATGTTCTCAGGGGCTGGTGAGATGGCTCAGTGGTCTAAAGCACCTACTTAGAACAAACTTAGCAAAAAAGCACAGGGACTGCGGTTCAATCCCCCAGCACCACATGCCAGCCAGCCCTGCCCCCTGGTGGGCTGAGCTGGCCACACACACACACCTCTCTCTCTCTCTCTCTCTCTCTCTCTCTCTCTCTCTCTCTCTCTCTCAAATAAATAATAAAAAAATAAAATGTTCTCAGCCAACAGAATCTTACTAGTCAGGGCTGCAACCGTATTGTTGATTAAGTTAAACTACTGTCACAGTAGAAGCACTGATTATAATCCACGGATCACCCAAATTAAACTTGTACACAGGCCTCCAGCTCAGCCCCCGCCTCAGTGTTCTGCACAGTGCCAGGTGCCTGATACTCCCAAAGCCCTGCTGCTTTTGTAGTTGGTGATGCCCCCAGTCATTATGAGGGGGGATCAGAGAAGTTTCTAGCTGCAGAGTGGTTGCTTCTACACTCTCGCTTAATTTAAGCGAGGGAGAGACAGCCCAGGAAGTCCTTCCATGTGAGGGTAATGAGCACAGATGTTTGTGAGACCTCAGACATTTTCTTTCCTTCCTCTGGGGCACGGTGTGTGTGGATGGACATGGGAGCTCCTGAATTACAGCTCCTGCTCCTGCTCTGTGCTGCGCCTGCTGTGCTCATTCTCCTCCATACCACGTGCACTCTTCACACTTCACCCTCCCCGAGCTGCCCTGCCCGTTGCATGCCATGCAGCCACTTTTGGGGGAGGGGTTGCCTCATCCTCCTGGGGGCTGTGGAGCCATTGTTTGCCATAAGCTGTGAGACATGGTGGAGCGGGGAGTGTCCAGGCCAGACAGAGAAGGGGAACAGCCACTGTCAAGAATTCCTGGCTGGGCTGGCGATATAGCTCAGTGGCATTAAGTGTCTGCCTGGCAAGTACAAGATCCTGAGTTGGATCCCCAGTACTGCCAAAAAAAAAAAAGAATTCCAGACTTGCTGGGCACTGTTGCACACGCCTATAACCCCAACACTCAGGAGGCTGAGACAGGAGGATTGCCATGAGTTTGAGGCCAGCCTGTGCTATATAGTGAATTCAAGGCAAATCTTCTTAAAAACCAGAAAGATGGGGCTGGGGATATAGCTCAGTAAAATAAGCACTTGCCTGGCAAGTGCAAGGGCCTGAGTTCAATCCTTGGTTCTGGGGGGGAAAAAAAAATTGACTTATAAAAACCAGAAAGAGGGCTGGTGAGATGGCTCAGTGGTCTAAAACACCTACTTAGAACAAAACAAGCTAAGCTAAACAAAACACCGGGGCCCAGGGAGATGGCTCAGTGGAATACGTGCTTCCCTGGCAAGCGCAAAGGACTGAGTTCAATCCCCGGTTCCACAAAAAAAAATAAATAAATAAATTAAAAAAATAAACGAAACACCGGGACCACATGCCAGCCCGCCCCGCCCCCTGGTGGGCTGAGCTGGCCACACACAGACAAAATAAATAAATAAATATTAAAAAAAAAAAAAACAGAAAACTTCTGGCCTACAATGGCAATGGAAGGTTTTGCAGCCTAGAAGAATAATGTAGGGAGAAGTAAAGAACTAGATAGAAGACCACATCACAGGAAGGACACAAGATCTTTTCCAGAAACAGTGTAGTCTCCATCTTCTCTGATTCTTGACTTTTCTTTATGCCCTCTCCATCCTCAACCATATACTTCACCCTGTCTTGGGGCACTGCCATTGTTTCCACCTCTTCTTCTCTTTGGACGCCTGCAGCTGGTACGTGACAATGCAGATCTGCGTTGTGAGCTTCCTAAACTGGAAAAACGACTTAGGGCTACGGCTGAGAGAGTTAAGGCCCTGGAGGGTGCACTGAAGGAGGCCAAGGAGGGTGCCATGAAGGACAAGCGCCGGTACCAGCAGGAGGTGGACCGCATCAAGGAGGCTGTACGGTACAAGAGCTCTGGCAAGAGAGGCCATTCTGCCCAGATTGGTGAGTGGGTGTCGCAGGCAAGTTGGGGTTACCCCCTGGAGCAAACTCCGCAAATTCCCAAGTGCCAGGTAACTGGAGTATTGCTTCTAGTGCCCAGCCTTCCCTCACACTCAAAAATAAACCGAAAGAGCTGGGGCTGGAGCTCGGCAGTAGAGTGCTTGCCCCATGTGAGGGCCTGGGTTAGCTCTCCAGTACCGGCAAGATAAAAATCGATGTATTATCCTGTAAGCAACTCAGTTCAAGCTCTGTGAAACGACCTTGGGGACCAGGGAAGTTCAGAGTAACAAATAACTTCCTATGTTCATTTCCTCTTTTCCATAGCCAAACCTGTACGGCCTGGCCACTACCCGGCATCCTCCCCCACCAACCCCTATGGCACCCGGAGCCCTGAGTGCATCAGTTACACCAACAGCCTTTTCCAGAACTACCAGAATTTATACCTGCAAGCTGCACCTAGCTCCACTTCAGATGTGTAGTGAGTGACTTGGGCATGGGCCAGAGTCCCAACCCAAGGCCTTCTGGGGCCTGGAAGTCATAGTTGGGTCGGTTATTGGTTGGGACTCAGCTGTTTTCTGAAGTAGCTTGATTTCTAACCCTTCCTCAATGTGCCTGTGCTAAGGTGGGCTTCTGCCTCTCTGTCTGTGATGTCATGTTTGTTCTCTGCTCTCTGGCCTGGGGAGGGCTGTGCCACTTAGTGGCTGCAGGGGAATGTGGGTTAGTGGTCCCCAGAATAGTGGAGGAGGGATGCTAGCAGCTGCCTCTCTCCACTCCACCCAGCTTTGCTAACTCCTGCGCCAGCAGTGGAGCCCCATCTTCTGGTGGCCCCTTGGCTTCATATCAGAAGGCCAACATGGACAATGGTAAGTGAACAAATGGGTAATTCAGCATTTGGGACCTCCAGGGCAAGGGGAGAGGTATGGGAAAAGTAAGTGACCCTAGTTTAACTGAACCTTCCTCAGTTGCCAAGCCTTCAGATAACATGATACCTGGGCTGGAGCTACAGCTCCCTGGCAGAGCACTTGTCTAGCAGGCACCAGGCCCTAGGTTCAATCCCCTGTGCCACAAAAACAAAAAACAAGAAGATACATACCTATTCTTTCAGGTCTAGATTTTACCTTGCCTGTCCCTTTCTCTTCTCCTTAGGGGCAGGAAGCTTTTTCTCAAAAAAGTAACCATGTGGCCTTGGGTAGCTGAGGACAGAGAGGAGACTTACTTGTTTCACAGTGGGGTTAGGGTGGGAGGGACCCGGGAAGACCATTCCTAACACCTGTCTGCTTTTTTTTCTTCTCACCGTGGCCTCGTTTTTTGATCCTTTCAGGAAATGCCACAGACATCAATGACAATAGGTACACCATTTTCCACTACTCTTGGGGTCTCTGGGAGGGACCAGAAGTATGATTTAATTTTCCTCTGCCCTGCGTAGAGCTTCCCTGGAGCCTCTGGGGGAGGGAAGAGGAAATGAGAATCTTCCTGCCTTCCCTGGCTTGTCAGGGAGATCCAGGCATTCCCTTGTCTCTGTGCAGAACACTGCCCCCCTCCTCGAGTCCCCTCTGGGACCTCTTCTCATTCCAACTATGGGGCCATGCATACCCGATAAAGCAGTTCTTTTCTTTCTTTAGGAACATCATGACCTTGGGCAAGTTGTTGACATCAGCCTTGTAGTTCCCTGTATTCCTGTAGCATGAGCAGGCCCTGACCCTGCCCTGCCTTATCTCCCAGGAATGCCATCAGCAGTATCCATGGCAGGAATGCTTTCACTTATGGGGCACTGATCTGGGTGTGTGTCTTCCCACAGGAGTGACCTGCCCTGTGGCTATGAGGCTGAGGACCAGGCCAAGCTTTTCCCTCTCCACCAAGAGACAGCAGCCAGCTAATCTCCGACAGGACGATGGCTACATACCTGCACTTTCAGGTAGTCCCAGGCCACTTCCCCTGACCAGCCTCACATGGCCCCTTTTCTTGCCCACACCTCTTTGGTTCTCTCTTTTTGTTTAACCACCTCTAGACGTTTGCTATACTGTTGCTCCTCAGCTCCTGCCTTCGCCTCCTAGAGGCTGTGTGTAGCCCTGTGTGTTCTGCACACCGTAAACACTGGCACCTCTCTCCTTCCCTAATGCTTTCCCTTTGGCTATTGTAGTAACCACAGTGCTGCTTTCTGCCACTAGGGGTCACTGCCATACGTCAAAAGAAGCGAGCAAGGGCTACTGTCCATCTGCCCCAAACAGGTCATAGACCAGTGATGGCGAACCTATGGCATGGGTACTGCAGTGGGCTGTTTGTATCTTTTAAGAGCTCTAAAAGGTTCGCCATCACTGTGAGACCATAGATAACAAGAGATCCTCCCTCTACCTGTACTCTCAAATGTCTTAGATAGCTTTTCTGAAGACATCTGCAGTAAAGGCAATGTGATTTATTCCCAACACCCATGACCTATCTTCCCATCTACACAGACCACCAAAAAGCTACATGAAATGCCCATGAAGTCTGTCTTGTCCCCGTAGCTGTAGTGTCAGCAGTGCCCTTCATATGGTTCAGTGGAGGCAGAAACAGTTGGTCCAAACTGTATCCCACCCCTCTTCCCTAAGGAGGATTTTGGGAGGGCTGGGGGTGGCATAGCAGGGTCCAGGTGGGTGATCTAGTTGTTGGTATTAAGGGAACAGGACCAGAAACCAAATTGTGGACAAAAGCCATCTGTTCCTGCAAGGCAGCTGGGCTGCAGCTGGTTCCTCACACCTTCTTTTTCTTTCTTCTCTAGTTTCTAAGAGGGACTGAGGCCTCTTCTCTCAGCATGCTGCAAACCTGTGGTCTCTGATACTAACTCCCTCCCCAACCCCTGTTGTTGGACTGTATTGTTGGATGTCTTCTCTTACTGACTGTATCTCTTTGTACTCTGTATCTATATATCAGAAGCTGCTGCTATGTCTCTCCTCTCTCTGTCCTGCTCTCTAAATATTTAGTAATGTATTTAGCGATTTCTAAGCATAGTCTAGCCTCCTCATTTGGGACAATAGAGGGGAGGGGAAGGGTTTCTTCTTTCTCTCATATACTAGTCCCTCACACGGAGTGGTGGTAGTCACTGACCAGAGGTCACAGAGGATGAAAGAAGAAAAGAGAAGTAGAGGGCTATGATCCTTCTTTCGCACACATGTGTACACATGCACACATACATACACACATGTACATACAAAGCCTTAAGCAGAAAAATGTCTTAGCACCCTCAGAAGACAGAAATACACTCTTCCTCTCTTCTCTTTCATGAGTGGTACAGGGGAAGGTGAAAAGGAAGGGCTTCTAAATTATACAAATAATTTTCTTCATGTGCCCCTCACCTGAAGCAAGAGATCCCAGGTGTTTACCTCTGTCCTACGAAGTCTGCCTTTGGCCTTCTCCGTTTTCCCCTGGGCTGAGAAACATGGACTGTTTAAAGGACATGTCCCTTTGTCACCCAAGGCCCTTTTAATACTCTCTACCCCAGAACTCAGAATTGACTAAAAATATTTTCAGTGAGCAGACAGATGCTTCCCGATCTGTCAGTGGTCACGATAGCAGGGAAATGCCATCAGAATGATTAGTCCTGGGTCTGGAGAATGAACCAGCTGTGAAGTTGCTAGGTGGTTTGTTTTTTTTGTTTTTTTGGTTTGTTTGTTTTCTTGCTTTTCTTTTTTTTTTTTTGGCAGAACTGGGGATTGAACTCAGGCCCTTGCGCTTGCCAGGGAAGCACTTATTCTACTGAGCCATCTCCCCAGCCCCTTGCTTTTCTTTCTTTCTCGTTCTGTTTCTGTCTTTATCTCTCTCTCTCTCTCTCTCTCTCTCTCTCTCTCTCTCTCTCTCTCTCTCTCTTTTTTGTCATAGTACCCTCAGGTTGAAACAATGAACTGGAATTCTTTCTCTCACATTGGGTCTCATGTCCTTCCTTTCTCTGCCTTTTGGTTTGGAGCTTCCAGTTCACTGGCAGAATAGCTCTCTAGATGCTTTTCTTGTAAGCTGGAGCCTGGCTTCTCCCTAGAATACATTTTCCCCCACAAAGAGTTCCTTGTATAATACCCCCATCTGGTATTAAGTGCACTTTAAAGAAAGAGCCAGGGCAGATTTTCCAGGGGTGGTGGAGCCCAAGGGCTTGACCCCAGACATTTTCAGCCCTGTGCCCCCTCTCTCACAGTTGAGAGGACTGTTGCTTTAGTTCCAGATGGCCTTTTCCTTCCACTTGGTGCTAAGGTGGTTTTCCAGGTAAATGCACTGATGTAGGTCACTAGCCAGTTCAAACCCAGAAGCCCGATGTCCAGATACCAGTTTTATTTAGCATGAAAGGCCTGGGTCTTGCTGGGTATGGTGGCACATGCCTGGATTCCCAGCACTTGTGAGGCTGAGCCAAGATCACCACAAGTTCAAGGCCAGCCTGGGCTACCCAACAAGACTCTGTCTCAAAAAAAGAAAGAAAGAGAAAGAAAGAAAGAAAGAAAGAAAGAAAGAAAGAAAGATAGATAGATAGATAGATAGATAGATAGATAGATAGATAGATAGATCTGGATCCTCCAGTAGCAGTAGCAGGACAGTCCAACACCTGACTTCTCTTGTTAGGAAAGAAAGCTCAGTCTGAGTGCAGCTGGTCAGTGTTGGCCACCATAGCCTGTGATGCCGCCTAGTGAAAGAGCCCTACTTCCTTCCCTTGTGTAGTCCCTGTTAGCGTTAAGGAGAAATACCAGGGGAAAAGTACAAAAGGGGTGTGCCATAAATCCAAAGTGGTAATTTTCAAATACTTCTCAAATAGTATGTAGAGTCCTAAATAACATAACAATGCAGACCTAGTTTGCATTTTATTTTTCTGGTGAGAAATGCACCATTAGTTAGGGATCCCTTGAAGAGTCCAAAGAGACCTTGGGGGTTCTATAGAATAGTTTGAAAAGCACTGCTCTGTGAAAGGAGGTCCAATCTGGCCCCCCTACCCCTGAAACTCGCAGGATAGAGAATTGGGGTGGTACTGATGAACTGTGCTCACTCAGACCCTGCTGGAGACTAAGGAAAACACCAGTGCACCTGTCGATTAAGTTGTTATTTGCCAACAGGACAGCTAAGAACCCACAGGCTTATGTAATCTATCTATCTTTCTTTCTTTCTTTCTTTCTTTCTTTCTTTCTTTCTTTCTTTCTTTCTTCTGTCTTTCTTTCTTTCTTTCTTTCTTTCTTTCTTTCTTTCTTTCTTTCTTTCTTTCTTTCTTCTTCTCTTTCAAGACAGGATCTTGCTATGAAATTTAGGCTGGCCTTGAACTCACTATGTAGCCCAGACTGGCCTTGAACCTCAGGATGATCCTCCTGCTCACTCCCAAGTGCTAGAATTACAGGTGTGCACCACTTCACCTGGTTCCAAATGATTCTTTGAAACAGTATATAAGAAAATGTGAACGTGTAGGGCAGATGAAGAGAGGTGACATTGAAGGAGCAGCCTGCTCTTTAGTAAGATGTAAGGGAATCATAATTCCCTTGCAGAAATAAGAAACAATACACACACCACCCTTTACCAAAAGCTTCACGCTACATCCTCCTCTTCGTGTTCCTATATCACATCCCTTACAGAGAGCCAGGGCCACCACAAGGGGTACCTGGCCTACCCACTCACATCTGCCAAAATGTTGCATGCCAGCGTGGAAGACAAACCAAACTGCACAAACCCCCATGTGTATTTACTTGGTGTACATAGATATCTTTGAAATAAAATAAATTCAATGATAACTTTGTGTTGTTGTAAGTCTTCTTTATCCCTCCCCAATGTAACTCCTTTAATTATTTATTTATTTATTTATTTTTAACTTTTGTCTTTTTGAGACAGAGTCTCATCTTGCTATGCAGTTCAGGCTGGCCTTGAGCTCACTTTGTAGCCCACACTGGTCTCAAGCTCAAAACGATCCTCCTGCCTCAGCTTCCCACACAGCTGGGATTACAGGTGTGCGCCACTGTGTCAGACATATTTTGCTGTTTATTTACATAAAGACTCTCCTTCCCTGGAGATCTTTCCATACATTGATTTACCTCACTGAATATGTGTAATGTTCATGTTTATCCACCCTCAGAATGAATCTATCCAGCCATTCTACTATTGGTGGCTGGCTAGGTGGTTTGTAATTTTTTTTTTAACATTTATTTAGGGTGTGTGTGTGTGTGTGTGTGTGTGTGTGTGTGGCCAGCTCAGCCCACCAGGGGGCGGGGCTGGCTGGCATGTGGTGCTGGGGGATTGAACTGCGGTCCCTTGTGCTTTGCTTAGCTTAGCTTGTTCTAAGAAGGTGCTTTAGACCACTGAGCCATCTCACCAGCCCTGGTTTGTAATTTTTAACAGAAAAAAAGTATTGTGTTCTCTTCATTTTTTTACTGAGCCCCTCATCCCAGCCCCAGCCTCATTTGCACATCGAGTGCATCACTCTCCTTCCCTTGCCAGCAGTTCACTTTTCTTTGTTCCACAGTCACACTTCCAACCCTTATTATTTTCCCTGCTCATCCCTCAAAGCCTTTGGCTTGGAGAAAACTGCAACTGAAAAAGCAAAAACCCAGACAATTAACTATGAAGAGCTGCAAGCCTAGGCCTTCAGTGCTGCTCCATGTTCCTCTCATTGACCTGCTCAGGCTCCTCTTCTGCCTTCCACGAAAGTTGTTCCACAAAAGTTGTCCGTTACTCCTGGAGAGACCCCTCCTGCCTTCCTCTCAGACAACAGCTTTAGGAAAGTTAGGGTGATCCAGCATGAAGTTCACCCCTCCCAGTAACCCTTCACATTGGCCTATATCTCCGTGTACACTTTCCTTGAATGAATCCCTTATAAAGACTCCCTGCTCCCACTTACTGCGCTGCTGGAGACTGAACCAGGGCCTCGCATGCTAGACCACAGGCCAGTCCCATCTCCTAGATCTTTAATTCTTGAGATTTCTCACATAAGACCTCAGTAAATAAAATAACTAAAAGTTTCGCAGGATATGAAAGTGTTGTTTGTATCTTCTTTAACATTTGTCTCAGTGATCTTGTAAGCACTCTCCTCCTTTTTTGTGTGCTTCTCAATAAATGACTTCCTAGGCTTGTTTTCTTACTGACTAGTCTCCAGAAACAGTCCCAAGCTGCCATCACCGCTCCCTCAGCCCCTTTTCACCTGAGTCCACCCCAGCCTGGCTCTTGTTCTCACACTGCTTCTTCAGAGGTTACCGGATAACAGATGAAACAGGCAATTTCATTATGTCTATTCACCATGTCCTCCTTGAAGCTCTACTCCCTGGGGTTTTATGACCCTCGTCTCCCGCCTCAACTTCTGGCCACCCCTTCTGACTTTTCCTCTACCACCTACCAAATGCTGCCGTGGCTTTGGATTCAGCCCTTGGCCTTTGGATTCAGCCCTTGGTCCTCTCCTTGTCTTGCTGGATATGTAACCCATGCCCAAGAGTCCACAACAATTCTTTTTTTTTTGTGGCCAGCTCCCGGCTTAGCCCACCCTAGGGGCGGAGCATGTGGTGCTGGGGATTGAACTGCAGTCCCTGCAGGTCCCTGCGCTTGCCTGAAATTGCCTAAGCGGGCACTTTAGACCACTGAGCTATCTTGCCACCCCCACAACAATTTTTTTTTTTTTTTTTTTTTTTTTAGGTACCGTGGATTGAACTCAGGCCCTTGCGCTTGCCAGGCAAGTGCTTATTCTACTGAGCTATCTCCCTGCACCCCCCAATTCTTAAACCTGTATTCCAACTCAGATCATCTGCAGAGTTCAGGGTCTATATAGTTGCCCTCAGGCACCTGAAACATTCCAGATTGCATTCCTCTTTTCCCCAAACTGCCTCTTTTCATGTCACCTCTGTCCTCACTTTATGCAGAAGCCTGAACTCACTCTCAATGTTTCATTTTTCCTGGAAAGCCCATATCTGATAAATTATTTGCTTTCTTTTTTTCATACTGGACCTTCACAGTGAACTGTGTTGACCAACCCTTTTTTAAAAAATTTGAGGGGCTGGTGAGATGGCTCAGTGGTCTAAAGCACCTACTTAGAACAAGTTTAGTAAAGCACAGGGACCACGGTTCAATCCCCCAGCACCACATGCCAGCCAGCCCCGCCCCCTGGTGGACTGAGCTGGCCACACACACACACACACACAAATAAAGAAAATTTAAAAAAAAATTTGAGATAGGCTCTTACCAGGTCACTAAATTGTCAAGGCTAGGCTCAAACTCTCCATCCTCCTGCCTCAGCCTTCCCACCAGGTGATGGGATTACAAGTGTGCACCATCATGCCTGGCTCCACTGTAGGGACCTACGGAAGCTGGAAAGCCAGTCAAAGGTGTGTATGTGGGACTAGGTCTCAGTGCCTAAAGCAAACAAGCTACCTCAGTCCTGAGATAAGCATCCTGACTGGTTATTGTTGGGTAGTAGCCACTGGGCAACGTTGTGTCACATGTTACTAACTTTGCAAAAGGCATAAATAAACATAGGTTTCACTGTGCTGGCATGTGAGTCTTGCCCATCAGGCAGACTACCAACCACCTAGCCCAGCTTTTGTCTTGTCTGTCTTTCTCATTCCTGCCACTGTGTCTTCCTGGATAGAACCATTTGCAGTAAGACCAATGGATCCCTACACACCACTATGTATTTTCAAATTAAACCTTTAAATTTTTTAAAATTTATTTTTATTTATTCATTTGGTACAAGGTCTCACTATGTAGCTCAGACTCGTAGTGATATTCCTGTCTTAGCCTATCCAGCGCTGGGATTGCAAGTGTGCACCATCAAGTTGGGTTTCGGAGCCAGTGTGGAGTGCCCAGTGGTTCCAGGGCTGGCACAGCACAGGGGATCAAACCCAGGTCCTTATGCTTGCCAGGCAGGTACTTACGCCACCAAGCTGGCTCCCCAGCCCAAATTAAACCCTTATTTTATATTTTACTTTATTTGCTACAGGGTCTTACTACACAGCTCAGACTCCTAGTGATCCTCCTGTTTTCAGCCTCCCCAGTGCTGAGATTACAGGTGTGTACTAACATGCCTGGTCTTTGCAAGCCTGGGCTTGGGGCCAGCACAGCATGCGGGTGCTGGGGATCACTATTCCCCCCCCCCCCGCCCCCCTGCCTGTGCTTGCTTAAGCAGGGACTTAGTCCTCTAAGCTATCTTGCAGGCCCTTCAAATTGGACCTTTAGATGACCTCCCTTTCTCCAACTCAGCAGCCATAGCTTCAGTTCACAATCTGTGCATGAACTTTTGCAACACTCCAGTCACCCTTCAGAATGATGCCTAAGTGGTCCTTCTAAAAGCACACTTACTAGATTAAATCCACTTATGGAGATCTCCAGTGCCTACCCTTCCTAATCTTGAATCTTTTTTCTTTCCACTGGTTCTCAAGTTCCAGCTGTACTTTACTATTAATATCTTCAGAAACAGACAAGTTATTTCTCGTCTCAGTGGCTTATACTGATCTTCAGATAGAAAGCCTTCTAACCCTTAGCCCTGAATTCCACTGACCTTTCCATAGCCAGAAGTCTTCTAACTCTTTCCTGACCATCTGCACTTCACCCTGTGTCACAATCACTGCCTCACAGGCATCTCCTGTATAGCTTTTATCTTGAAGATTGCAACTTTCTCCTTGGCCAGTCAGGGCCACTAGACATCTCCTCCCAACTGCTCTAGGGCTGGAACTATTTGTTTCCAGCTTCAATCAAAGGAAAAGTCAGTTCCAGGAACAGTACTGGGTACAAGTAAATGTTCAATAGATACCTAGTGACTAGATGAATGAATACATTTAAAGACGTTAGTGGCCACAGGTAAGAATTTAGGATACTGTTGCACACCTGTGATCCCAGCACTCAGGAGGAAGAGGCAAAATCGCTGGGAGTTTGAACCCAGTCTGGGCTACACAGTAAGTTCAAGGTTTCCAAAAAAAAAAACCACAGGAATTTTGGATTTCTCATTCCCGCCCCTCCCAGATCCCTCCCTACTTGATAAAGAAATGCTTTAGCGTTAGCCTTAGACTGCTGGTTACTCTTAGAAACCCGGCAGAACCAGGAGGAGGTGACTTTGCTGCGAGGCTCCCGACCCGGTAGGACCCAGGCTGGCCAAGGCGCACTTCTGCCGCCTAGATGACCGGTTAGGGCCTCGCCCACGGAGGACGCGCTCGGAACACCGGGCCTCACCCCAGCCCACCCCGCTCCAGGTGAGCCCACCTACCGGGCGGCGTCCGGGCCGCGGGCGTCGGGGGCGGAGCCGTAGTTGCTCCGCCCCGCCGCGCGCCTGCGGTCCAGCCTCCGGTCACGTGACGGCGGCGCAGGTGAGCACCGCTTCCGGGGTCAGGCGCCTGGATCGCGACTGGCCCCGACTTCCACTCCGTCGGGTGCGCGGGAGACGATGGCGTCCTCGGTCCCGCCAGCCACCGCACCCGCGGCAACAGCGGGGCCCGCCCCAGGTTTCGGCTTCGCCTCCAAAACCAAGAAGAAGCATTTCGTGCAACAGAAGGTGAAGGTGTTCCGGGCGGCCGACCCACTTGTGGGTGTGTTCCTGTGGGGCGTAGCCCACTCGGTGAGAGCAGCCCTAGCCCCTCCTGCCCTGTCCGCAGCCCTCAGCTCCTGCGCTTCGGGGCGCCCGGAGTCCCTCGCCTGCCACCCACCCGCCGCACTGCTGTCCTGGCCCCTGCCCTAAGGTGTTGCTCCAGCCTGTCTTCTGATGGTAGACTTTTCTCTCCCCGTCTGTCCTTTCCGCTTCTACTAGAGTACCGCCTTCTCCACTTGAAGTCCAGGTCCCTGTCTCTTGACTTCTTCCAGCCCCAGGCTACTGAGCCTGGCCGGTAGGAACCTGAGAAGGAGTTAGGGGTGATGAGGTCCTAGAGACTGTGTATGCGAGAGGGGTGGCTTGGTAAAGGGGATCGTTCACTTTCCTTTCTACCTTGTTTCTAGCCTCATTCCTTGACTTTGCAGCCCTGGGCTTGTCTGGGGGAAAGTCCAAGCTTGGACCTTCTAATTCTGCTTGTCCCTTCCATCTAGAGAGAGGTTCAGCATTTCAAAGAAGGTACCCCACCCTGAGCCTAATGGTTGCACTTGCTCAGGATTTAATGTATATATGTCGTTGGTCTTAACTGCATTCCTGTTGCTTGCGGGAGTGACTTGGTGCAAGTGGGAGTTATTTCTGACCAAAGAGAAACAGAAGCTCTGATCGCAGGAACACTATTTTGGTGAACTTTGGGGACTGAAAACTACTCTAAAGGGTCTAGCTTGGGAGTCAAGAGGAGGCCAGTGTATCTTCTGGAGGGTTTCCCCCAGTGCAGGAAGCAGACATAGCCCCCTTTTCTCAGTCGGGGAGTGAGTGGGTTGTGATGATCTTGAATGTGACAGAATATTTTAGTAATCAGCTTCCTCTTGAATTGTTATAGTCATGGAAAGGTTGTGGGGGTGGAAAGGGATGAGGAAGAATGCAGTTTTGTCATATTCTTAATTTGTAGTTTAGAATGTCATTTGGGGTCATTTGGCTCCCTTTTGCATTTGCAGCCCTCTGAGTGGTACATCTTATTATCAAAGATCTAGTCCAAGGCACTTGTAGTGTGGATAAGGCTGATGGAGGTAGGACTGCCTCTCCACAAGTACCTTCCTGTGGGAAGCTTGATAAGTGTGTTTTCTTGTGGTAAGGATTGGAGGATTACATGTAAGACTTGCCTCAGCTTCTTCAGATAGTATATATACCTTAGTTCCACCAGCCCACCCTTTGGCCAACATCTACTTCAAGTGTCTGGAATGGAGAAATTCCTTGAACATATGCCTTAGTGATGATTCAGCCTACTTAGCAGGTGGTAAGGAGGGGGCAAGAAGAACTATAGCTGAATTTTAGGTTGGGAATCTCAAATGGCTTTTTTTTTTTTTTTTTTTTTTCCGCCTGTTTTTATAAGGATTTTTTCTTTTTTTTTTTTTTTTTTTTTTCTCCTCCCTGGAGAAATATGTTCTGTCCTCTTTTTCTATGAGAACAGGAGGAGTTGTATGCACTGCAGTGTGTGTAATTTAGGTTAGACTGCAATTCTTAACTTTTTCAAATTATTAAGTAAAGATAGACAAGACATTCATTTATTCAGTTAATACACATTTTAGGATCTCTGTGTGCCAAACATTATGCTAGCTAAACACCTGAGAAATGTGAAGACTGGGATGAGCACTTGGCCTTCGAGCTCACAATCTGAGGGTGGGGGTGGTGGGACTTACATAAACTGGTGGTTAGAATCATGTGGTGCTTCATACATTATTAAAGGCTGACGAGAGATAATCTAGCAACATCAAGGAAAAAGGACATTTCCTTGCGATTTCTAAATAGAGAAGCCCCCTTTCTACCACCCTGAATTAGCAGGCTACAGATCCTGGGGCTGAGGAGAACATATGACGCTTGTGTCCTTTGGGCTGGCTTCACTTTAAGAAACAGTACCTAACGAGCTCTAGTCTCCTGATGGCCTGCATTCCCTCTGAGATGAGCTGTTCTCATACTTTATACCTAGGCAGGTGGGTGCCTCCTGCAGAGAACTGGGTCAGAGAGGTCTGGAAGGACTGTCCTGTTCGTTTATTTTTATTTTTGATACCAGGGATTGAACTCAGGACCTTATGTTTGCTAGGCAGGCGCTTATTCTGCTAAGCTTTCTCCCTGGCTGCACTGCCCTGTTTATAAGAAGATACTTCTTGCAGGACATGGCTATTTCATCTTCATTCTGGCCTTGACCCTGCTTAGTCCCATTAACTCTGTGTACTTAAAAACACTTATTTAATTTATTTATTTATTTATTTATTTTATTTTTTTTTTTTTTGAGGGTTTCACTGTGCAGTTCAGGCTGGCCTTGAACTCACTGTGATCCTCCTGCCCCAGCTTCCCAAGTACTGGGATTACAGGTGTGTGCCACCATGGTGTGCGGCAACATTTCCTTTTTTGTAAATGGAGCAGGTAACTGTCTTGTCTGCAGAGGTTTTTTTTTTATTGCTTTTTTTCTAGAATTTCTCGCAGCTTTAAAAATAGTCCTGAGTTGCTTACAGAGCTTACCTAATATAAAATTACTGTTGTGAGCATGAAGTTCCATGGGGGTGGGAGTGTGAGGGTTGCTCACAGCAATCCTTGGGCAGCAAAAGCACTTAGACACATTCTCTGACTTTAACCATATGCACATTCAGTGTTTTTAAAAGAATGAGATTGCCCTTTCCTAACTCCTGCCAAGACATGTTGTATAAGTGTCTATGTTCTTGCTGCCTCCTTTTTCATGTTTTGACTTATCAGATCAATGAGCTCAGCCAGGTCCCTCCCCCGGTGATGCTTCTGCCAGATGACTTTAAGGCTAGCTCCAAGATCAAGGTCAACAATCACCTTTTCCATAGGTAAGTGGGGAATCCTTTTCTATCTCCCAGCAACCTTCTCAGAAAAGATTAACTAATTGTAAAAGAATACATGGGTTAAAAGTTTTAGATTTGGAGGTCATTTTATAAATTGTATGACTGGACGTCCTCCTCAATATAGAAAGGTTTGTGCAAAGAAATTAAAATAATGTGTCAGCCTGCTCAAGTCCCCCTTCTGTGCCTCTCTGAGACAGGAGCTTTCTTTCCTCCAATAAATATATTCTACTCTTAACTGCTGTTGTTCCTAAAATTTATTCTTCAGTTTTAGAGAACATGGACTTGGCCCAGGTATCTTTCAGTTAGGAGTTTCATTCCACTGTATCATTTGGAGGTTGCCACTAAGATCATTGGATGGAGGTAGTCCACAGTCAAAGTCTCTTACTCCTTTAGAGTGCATCATTAAGCACTGGAAGAATGTTGCTTACATGTTGAAAAAGAATTGTTTAATATTTTTCTGCACATGTGCATGGCTTACATACCCCCTAGAGCCAAAATGGAATGCAAAAACTCAATTATATGCCTAACCAAGAGGAAAATGCCTGGTGTCTATCAAGGGCTTTTGGGTAGAACCTCTGGAGAGTATCTCTAACTGCCTGTCAACAACTATGGCAACCCCTTTCAGACTGAAGAAGCCAGAGTGCTCACCTCCCATAATTCCCTCATGGCAGTTTGGATTACCTCTTCAGAGGGGGGAATGTTGTAGGCAACTAAATTAGATAGAAATATTATAGGCAGTTAGACAAGCTACGCCCTCAAGAAGACCTGCAACTTTGGAAGAGACAGACACTCCTGCTGTGGGCCAGACCTCAAGACAAAAGAGTAAAATGCAGCCACATACCTCCCTAGAGATGGGCATCAGGGGTTGATAGTCTAACTAGGTATCAGTCACCTCGAAAGAGCTAGAAAGAGTCAGTAACCCATCCTCCAACAAGAAGAGCTCCTGTTCTTTATTCATGCCTGCTTGCTATGTGACTCACTTCCCCATTTGATCCCAATTTAATCAATTTTACCTGAGTAGTTTTACTTGTCTTATTAGTTGACCATAGTTTTGTCCCACCTTATGTGCAAGTTCCCATGTTCTCCACCACTTGCTCAGGTCTCCCTTCTGTCCTTCTCTCGGACAGGAGCTTTCTTTCCCCCAAAAAATATATTCTGCTCTAAAAAAAAAAAAAAAAAATTAGAATAATTTCTAGTGTTGTCTAAATGCTTATGTGTGCTATCTGTTTTCTAGCCTGGCAGTTCCATGGAGTGAATACATTCACACGCTGTTACTATTATCTACCGATAAAAATTGCCTGAAAAAAGTACTTTTTTTTTGGTGGAACCGGGGATTAAACTCAGGCCCTTGCACTTGCCAGGGAAGCGCTTATTCCGCTGAGCCATCTCCCCAGCCCTGAAAGAAGTACTTTTGTCTTCTAAGCCCCTCTAGTACCAGAAGATATGATTTAAATAATGAGCTCCAGTAGCCACCTTTGCTAACTTGCTAACTTGTTTGGGATTTGGGAAATGCTACTTGTTATACTACTTTCCAGCCATGTAACTTAGACAGGCCACTCAGTCATTCTGAAACACAGTCTTGCACTCTATAAAATACCTTTAAACATACCTCACAGGGTTTTATGAGGATCAAATGAGTTAATAAGTGTAAAGGTGCTTTATAAACTGTAAAGTCCTGTATCAATGTAAGGTAATATTATTACTTTGTTGTTTCACCATGAAAACCTGTATTTCAGGGAAAATCTACCCAGTCATTTCAAGTTCAAGGAATACTGTCCCCAGGTCTTCAGGAATCTCCGTGATAGATTTGGCATTGATGACCAGGATTACTTGGTGAGAGTCCATTATGGGATAAAGATAGTCTCTATCAACTTGGGAGTCCTTGGGATAGTCGTATTTGGAGAAATAAAATCCTCAGAAAATGTGATTCTTTGTAGTTTTCTGGTCAAAGTCATCTTCAAAAATCTAATGATGGCTGGGAATATAGCTCAATGTTAAAGCACTTGCCTGGCACGCACAGGCCTTGGGTTCAGTTCCCTTTAAGAAAAGCAAAAACAAAAAAACTAATGAAAACTAATAAAGCTTATCTAATAAAGGCATCCTTGGCAAACAAAAATACAGATACATTAGGAATTTTGCGGCCGGCACGATAGCTCAGTGGACTAAGCACCCGCTTAGGCAAGCACAGGGACCGAGGTTCTATCCCTGTACCTACCACATGCTGTGGCAGCCCTGTCCTCAGGTGCGCCGAGCTGGCAGCTGAGTCCGAGTGTGGTGGTACACGCCTGTAATTCCAGCCCTGGGGAGGCTGAAAACAGGGATCACTACGAGTCTGAGCTATGTAGTGAGACCCTATAGACCCTGTAGACCCTGTCCTAAATACATTAAAGGAAAAAAAAAGAATTTTGCATTTGCTATACAGTGACAATGCCTATAATCTCAGCTATTTGGGAAGCTGAAGCAGGAGATTGCAAATTCAAGGTCAGCCTGGGAAGTTTAACAAGACTGTCTCAAAATAAAAGCTAGGGGATGTAGCTCAGTGGTAGTGTAATTACCTAGTATGTGTGGGGCCCTGGGTTCAATACCCAGTACCACAACAACCATTTAAAAAAAAAATTGTATTCAATTTCATTTGTTTCATATGTGGATACCAGATGAAGAACTCTTGCTCAGTCTTTTACCCAAGGTTTCATCTGGTTTTAGAAGCATTTTTGTCAGCCATTAACCTATGACTTGTTTCTCCACATAAAGAGAAAAGAACGTATAGCTTGTTCTTTGTCTTTAGGTATCCCTTACCCGAAGCCCCCCGAGTGAAAGTGAAGGCAGTGATGGTCGCTTTCTCATCTCCTACGACCGGACTCTAGTCATCAAAGAAGTATCCAGTGAGGACATTGCTGACATGCATAGCAACCTCTCCAACTACCACCAGGTCAAGCTTCTCTCTCGCCCATTCTTTCCTTCTCCCCCCTATATATAGTACATAGTCACCTGACAGAACACATGAAGATTCCCTGTCCCCTTTCCTCCCCAAAAAAACTGCGTCTCCCTAAGAAGCACTTCATACCATGTTTTCAAAAAAATAGAAATTGGAAGGAAAAAAGGGTAGGGAGTCTTTTACATACTTATATGTGTTTTATTTTATTTTTTTTTTAATGAAACTTTTTTTTTTTTTTTT